CTGCCTACGGCAGCTTTGTGAATAGACCCCTTAATGTTGGTGTCTTCACAGCTCATTATAACTAAATCACATTGGTTTAAAGATGCCTATTGAGCCACCACCGCTTTTCATTTTAGTGTGCCACAACATCACCACCTTCTGTTTGGGTTTACATGGACCAAAATGTCGTGGATGTACAGACAGGATCCTATGAAACTCGGGTCTTTTCGATGGGTGGCACTTCCCAAAACACAAATGGTCACCTCAAGCAGACATTCATGTTTAAGCCTATGGGGATCAGCACATTATGCCCACTGTAATATTCAGGGCGGATATGACCCGTAGCCAGCCGTATCAGCAAATAAACTTTTATTCTTATCCAAAAACAGTCAAATAAAAATGGCTTATATTCAGCGCATACCAAATTTAGCTCAGCGTCTGTATGCTAAGTCACACCTCAGGGTTAGAGTCCCAGCCTCCAGGTTAGGGTATGGACACAAGTGCCCAGCAGTGTCTCGGTAGACTGTATTCCACAGCTTAACATGCATAGCCATGTCCTGCTCCAAACACTCCCCACAGACACCGACTGACTGGCTTCCTGTTCTGTTTTAACACACCCTCTGGATGGTGGGTTAACCCTTTCGTTACCAGAACTGGCTGTTGTCAGGGATGGAGGCTCTGTCCCACCCAATATATCTCTGAGCCTCCGGATTCTGGGACCCATGTATATTTAGCAACTCTGAGAAGCCTGCCTAGCAGTTTCCCTTACAAGTCCGACCCGGAACCCCTCACCACCTAAACAAGGGAGGGATATATCGTCCCTCCAGGATCCATTCCTGGCGTCCTGTACACCACCAATGGCTCTGGCTTATTAGGGAAAAAATTGTGATTAAAAAAGTGTTTCCATTCTGTCAGAACCCTATTAGTTTAAAGAATGTCCTTAGGATGTCCTTCCGCACTCCTTACCAAAGATCCCCTGAAGGTGGCTGCTGAAGTGACTGCAGATGGCATCGCAGGCATCAAACGTAGAAAAATGTCACCAGCACACCAGACATGTGGTTGAGCATTCGTCCTTTTCTGATGCATGTTGTCACATTGAAGCAACGTTTTGGGGCCAAGCAGGGTCCCCTTCATCAGGCACAGTATGACATAGGTGCAGTAATACACATACAAAATATAGACATACACTTAACCTAATCACCCAATGGAATGGTCTTTACTGTTCTTCCATTGGGTGATTAGGTAAATTGTATGCCTATATATTGTATGTGTATTACTGCACCTGTGCGGCCCCAAAACATTACTTCAATGTGACAATATGCGTCAATAAAGGACGAATACTTGACCACATTATCTGGTGTGCTGGTGAAATTTTGCTCTTAGTCTAAAAAATGGATGCACTTCTGCATCTTTGCTTTGGGTGCTAGGCAACTTTGTCTTGGCTCTGATAGTAAGCATTGGTGGGTGGAGCTTACTGTATGCCAATATACTGATTCCAAGCATGTTTTAGATTGTAGCTGTATAATGAGGCTTTCTTTTTGTTTTACCTATTTTTATTATTACAGTCATCACTGAAACATATCCTCCATCTACTGACCTCCTTAACAAGGAGTCAAACTTGGGGTGGACACTATATTTATCTAGTTCAACGTACTATAAAATGGCCAGTGATAACAGTCCTAAACAGACTATGGATCCGTTCTAATAACCGTTGTTTAACTCAAATGACAGAGCTTGGCAGGGCTATTGTAGTGAGTTAATAACTGCATTCAGTACCGGTGTAATGCTGTCACTATTTTTATTACATGAAGTAAATGTTTCCATTCTAGGCCTAGCATAGAACTTGTATGCAAACCATCCATATACTGTCATCATTTACCAAGAATAGATCATATAGCTGCATTACAAATAGAACAAACACAAAGACCATTTATTTTAACTGGAAAAAGCCCCATCTGAAACCATGCAGACAGCAGGAATAAAAGCTAATAAACTCTGTATGCAACATGGGCCTTCAATATCCCTCTGTCATAAACAGCAATTTGAACAAGGAAGATCATTTAAAGTGGAACTCAAGATAAATAATAATCAGCACAAGTGGCGGAACTACCAGGGTCGTAGAGGTCGCGGCCGCGACCGGGCCCTGGAGTTCGGCCACTTGGAGGGGGCCCAGGACAGGAGGAAGGGGCCACTGGTGACCGCTGATTACCATTTGAGCATTCGTCCTTTTCTGATGCATGTTGTCACATTGAAGCAACGTTTTGGGGCCAAGCAGGGTCCCCTTCATCAGGCACAGTATGACATAGGTGCAGTAATACACATACAAAATATAGACATACACTTAACCTAATCACCCAATGGAATGGTCTTTACTGTTCTTCCATTGGGTGATTAGGTAAATTGTATGCCTATATATTGTATGTGTATTACTGCACCTGTGCGGCCCCAAAACATTACTTCAATGTGACAATATGCGTCAATAAAGGACGAATACTTGACCACATTATCTGGTGTGCTGGTGAAATTTTGCTCTTAGTCTAAAAAATGGATGCACTTCTGCATCTTTGCTTTGGGTGCTAGGCAACTTTGTCTTGGCTCTGATAGTAAGCATTGGTGGGTGGAGCTTACTGTATGCCAATATACTGATTCCAAGCATGTTTTAGATTGTAGCTGTATAATGAGGCTTTCTTTTTGTTTTACCTATTTTTATTATTACAGTCATCACTGAAACATATCCTCCATCTACTGACCTCCTTAACAAGGAGTCAAACTTGGGGTGGACACTATATTTATCTAGTTCAACGTACTATAAAATGGCCAGTGATAACAGTCCTAAACAGACTATGGATCCGTTCTAATAACCGTTGTTTAACTCAAATGACAGAGCTTGGCAGGGCTATTGTAGTGAGTTAATAACTGCATTCAGTACCGGTGTAATGCTGTCACTATTTTTATTACATGAAGTAAATGTTTCCATTCTAGGCCTAGCATAGAACTTGTATGCAAACCATCCATATACTGTCATCATTTACCAAGAATAGATCATATAGCTGCATTACAAATAGAACAAACACAAAGACCATTTATTTTAACTGGAAAAAGCCCCATCTGAAACCATGCAGACAGCAGGAATAAAAGCTAATAAACTCTGTATGCAACATGGGCCTTCAATATCCCTCTGTCATAAACAGCAATTTGAACAAGGAAGATCATTTAAAGTGGAACTCAAGATAAATAATAATCAGCACAAGTGGCGGAACTACCAGGGTCGTAGAGGTCGCGGCCGCGACCGGGCCCTGGAGTTCGGCCACTTGGAGGGGGCCCAGGACAGGAGGAAGGGGCCACTGGTGACCGCTGATTACCAGTCCCGGGACCTCTTCCTCCCGTCCTGGGCCCTACATGCTTCACGCTGCTCCCCTCATCTTGTTCCGGGCGCAGCGTGAAGCATCATCCAGCCGGGCAGCAGCCCATGAGAGGGAGCGGTGTAATCCCCGCCCCCTCATCACACAGAACTGCCGCCGAGTGCTGCGTACACGAAGGGGGAGACCGAGACAGGGAGCTGGAAGTATCAACGAAGGTGACATGGGGTCGCTGGGGACATGAA